GCCCTGGTTGGGATTGTGCAGGAGGCAACCAATCAGTGTGTCTCTCTCACATCGATATTTCTCTCTCTCCCTCCCTCCCACTCTATCTGAAGATAAATGGGAAAAAATATTCTCCGGTGGGGATTAAAAAATAGCAATAAATTTTTTTTTAAACAGCCATTTATCTTTTGAATGTGATTTTACAAGAGGGGGCACAGAATGGGAAGAAACAGTTATTCCTTTGGCAATTCTGACAAGATCCAAAGATGTGTGGAATTTTCTCATTTATTTAGAGAACATTTTAGGACCTATAATATTCCAGGCAGCATATTAAGTAGTAGATAAATAAAGACCAATAATTACAATCCCTGCCCTCAACTTTACAGCCTCGTGGGAAATAGAAATAAAGTCTCGAAAAATCTCAAAACAAAAAGGTTGATATATAAAAATAAAATATGCCTTATCCATTATGCTGGCTAGGGGAAAGAAGGTAAGCATTATGAAGTTAAAACTGTTTAATTGAAGTGATTCTGTTATTTGGGCACATCATGTTCAGGTCTCTTGTTGCTACCCATAACATCTAGTAGCAGTCTTGAAATGTTGATACACTTCAAGACAGACATTTTTAAATTGACTCTACCATTAGAAAACTCAATAAATACTAAGGTGTTCTTGTGATGTCTCCTATGCAAAGATTGTATTGTACCTCAAAGCAGTTTCCAAATTTTTTCATTTCAAGTCACATTTCTAAATCGTTCAAATGTCAACAGTATATCTGAGGTGAAGACAAGCAAAGAGAATCATGTCCCACAGCCATTGATAGAAACTGGTGAAGGATGAGGAATTATTTGTGGCAATTGTAGGTAGATTATACCTCAGAAGTGAGTACATGAAAACATGATAATTTAGTGAAATAAGAAAAGAATAACATTAGAAACAAATCTCAGCAAAATAACTTGGTTCTATAAAGGGCTTAAGTTAGAAATCAAACATTAGAAACTCTCCAAGTTTAATTCTGATATAGGAGGTCATGAAGTGAAAGGGAGCAAACAGCATCCATTATAATTGTAGATTAGCTAGGAAATACTGGTTGAAAACTAGTTTTAAGTTCTGATTTTCAGATTAACACATCCTTAGCACTATCACCACTGTGAAAAATCAAAGTCTTCAACAAATAATCATTATATTCTGTACAAATTTATTTTGAGGGGTAAAGAACACCATAATTTTAAAGTATTAAACAACCTGGCCAATAATACCTAATAAGTTAATCACTTTTTTCCTCATCTCTATTATATAATAAAATGAGAAATAACCCCCACCCCCCTCCCACACATACACAGGAAACATACTTTAATTGAAGTGTAAGCTCAAGCCTTTTAAATTACATGTTCATAAATTTCATACAATAACAGGAACTTATCATTTCCCTCTCTTCCTTCAAATATGACTTTTGACAAAATATGCTTCTGCATAAGATTTCTCCCTGTTGGAGCTGCCATCTTGTTCCAGAGTGCTACATGCAAATCTAACAATGAAGAAAATTATTATACTCATCCAGAAGAATGTAGAGAAAGAATACTGATCCTGATGGAATTACAATGTGTAAGTCTGATTTGGAGTCAATATGAAAACATTTGTATTAAAATCCACATTAAAGTAGACTTTGTTTAGATAAATTATACTTTTTACATCATTATTCCCCAAAAATCTGATTATGTCCCCCAAAAAACCAAGACCTGCCTGTGTAATAGAGAATGCAAAGTAATTTAGTTTTTCACATCACTATAATAACATACCAAATCACGTCATATGAGAATACAGTGATTTCTAAAATAAAATAAAATACTATAATATGACATGTTAAAGTAGAGAGGAAAAAATAGTAATATTTATACAGATCTACTCAAAAGTGAAACCTGTGAACCCAGCTGGTGTGGCTCAGTGGTTCAGTATCTACCTATGCAACAAGAAGTCACCTGTTCGATTCCCAGTCAGGGTACATATCCAGGTTGTGGGCCAAATTCCCAGTGGGGGGCATGCAGGAGGCAGCCAATCAATGTTCTCTCTCATCGATGTTTCTATCTCTCTCTCCCTCTCCCTTCCTGTCTCTCTAAAATCAATAAAGAAAAAACAATTTTTTTAAAGAAATAAAATTTTTTAAAAAAGTGAAATCTGTGAAAAATGCATATGGATGGACCTATAGCTTTTCTGACTAATCTGGTTTACAGATGATTCAGTAAACACTATCATTTACTTTCAAATTGGAAAGAAAAGACTGCTTCTTAGTTTAAAAAAAAGGGAAGGGCAGTGATAAGTTCAACCAGTCTTAACTGTTTTAATAGCTTTTCCCATTTATATTTAATAAAGAAAGAAGACTGAAAATGCTCAACAGTTATAGTAACCTTCCTGAACACTAATTTCAAAAACCTTTATAGGTACAATAGGTACTAACTGGGCTACCCACTGGCATAGTGTGCTTGTAAATTATGCATGATAAAATCATGTAAAAAAAAAAAATGTTTTCTTATTACTAAACTTATCTATGTCACCATAAAACAGACTTAGGTTTTCAATGCAGGAAGATTCTTAATAATTCACATAATTCAACCTCATGCATATTTTTTAGAAATGGAAAAATAAGATCAAAGTGAATCACTGTTAGGTTTGAAAATGACAGTTCAGGTTTCTTAGTACTATGTTTTATACCTATGCTTCTCAAAGTGTAATACCGTATGTGTGGAGGATAATTAATAAAAACTAATATTTACTGAGCACAATACCACACAATGTGATAAATTCTTTGCAAGTACTGTCCCATTTAATTCTTAATAACTTCAAAAGTTAGGAACTGTAACTATCCTTATCTTAACTGAAGAGGCACAGATAAATAATTTACCCAGACTACAGATTTCAACCCAGATCCTAAAATCAAGGTAATAGGGAAGAGAGGGAAGTGACTGAGGGAAATCACAGAAATATTAACTCTCAATGTAGAAAGGAATACTGTTTACTGGTTGCATATAGTTCCTCCTTATACTACTCTTGAATTGTGGCTTGCAGTTCTGGCTACACATAAAAATCACTGGTGGGACTTTTTTTTTTTTTTTTTAAACTATGCATGCCTGGGACCTTCACGCCAATACTTGTGCTTCAACTAGCCTGGCCTGGGGCAAAGGCAGGAGTTTTTTAAAGCTCCCCAGATGATTCTAAAGGGCAGCTATGATTGAGAACCAGTGGTAATTCTCTCTCACCCTGTTAACCTCTCTAAATAGCCAACTACAATCAAATTAACTGATCACCTATTTGGTTCTGAACACTGCCTATTATATTTTCCATTTACCCAACAAAGTTCTTAACTTTGCTTTTTCTTTAAAAAAAGGAAACATTACAACTATAGCAGCACCTTTATAAATAACAAAATTTTGCAGCTTTTCTTTGCCATGAGGAATGTAGGGGGAATGGTGGGCAGATAGCATGAAAAAATTTGAAAATCCCTTCTTTATGCACCCACATACTCCTTAGGTTGAAAACAATGTAAAAAAGGTCCTAAGAGTCAAGCTAAAAATTAAATGGTTATATGACTAAAAAAGTTCTGTGAAATATGTTAAAGATTTGATATCCATGATATTTGACTATAATTCTTAATTCTGCTGGTGATGACAGTTAAAACACTAAGCAACTGTTACTGTGGTGATAAATTCTATTGTCTTTTCATGGTGCTGTAACAGCGATTATGCAGTGTTTTTACCCTATTAAGTCACCTGAATATAAACTAACAGGGGCTAAAGAAATGAAAGCCTTCTACAAGCATATCCAAAAAGCCCTACAGCTTGTCACATCGTGGACTGACAAATGCAAGAATTTTGCTGACAATTTTACATAAGAAGTCTCACTGTTTCACTAGAAGTTATTCAATTGCACATTTCAGTCACCCATACCAAAATGTGATGGAAACTGTTAGTCCTATACCAAAATATGATGGAAACTGTTAGTCTCAGATTTGCTGGCCCTTTTGTTTTACTAAAAAAGATGAAGTGTAGAGATATCTGACAAGCATGAAGTTTGATCTCTGATTTGAACAAGAGATCTAAAACTAAAAAAAGGGTATAAGTAGTTCACATTGCACAAAACTCTGGACTTCTCAGAGAAACAGCGCAAAACTTCCTGCTTCCGGACAGCTCATTATTTGGTTCAAGTCTTCACATTCCTTTATTAGTCATGACCATTCAGAAAGCTCTCTGTTCCTTACTGCTTGAATAACATCGGACTTTTAAATGTTGCTCATCAGACTTTCAAGAACCCTTATCAAATGAAGAAGCCATCCCAGAGTCCATGCCTAAAAAAGGGACTTATATTAGAGAACCCTCAGTAACCTGAGCAGTATGTCCACCACACAGATTTTTAAAAACTATCAGTACACATACCGTTCTGCACATTTTAAACGTATGTTCATCTGCACATTTTCACCACACACAATTACGGAACTTGCATAAGTTATGCAAAAATGAAATCTGCAAGAAACTGGAAAGACCTGTGGGTCTGTCTGTGTGAAACACACAGGCACAGCGACAGCGAACCACTCGTTACCGATGTCACTGGGGTCTCAAACGGCCCAGATCCACCCCTAAGCCATATGTCACCAGGCTCCAAGGCCCAGACGGGCAGAGAAACCACAGGGTAACTTGGATGAGAAAACAAGGGGAGGGGCCTCAGAAATGCGTGCACCGCCACCCCGAAGCTGAAGGGGTGTCCCGAAGGGCTGACCCTAAAGAAAACCCTTCCCTCCTGGGATCCTTCATCTCGCCCCAGGCCTGGAAGGCCTGCTCAAAGGGGTTTGTGGGAGGAAGGTCCGCACTTCGGAGACAAAAACAAATGAAAATAAAGCAAGTTCTCACTTCCTGGTCGTCTACTTTCCCGAAGGCCCCCGACACAAGACGGACCCCGCAAAAATGGGGCTAGGGAGGGGGACCCCCCGCCCCAGCCCGGCACCTCCCGTCCTCGCCTCCTCCGGGCCTTACACGGTGACGTGACCGGAGCCGCGGACCACCACCGGGTCCGGCGAGTACTTCAGCAGCTGCTCCTCCAGGGCCCGCTCCTCGTCCTCCTCCTCCTCGTAGATCTCGTCGAAATCCGCCATCCTGAGCCTCCGAGACCCCTGCCCGAAGAAGCCTGACTCCAGGGACTGTGGCCGGGACACGGGCTGCCGGGCGGCGGAGGCTGAGGGAGACGCTGCCGCGGGCTCCGAGGCCGCGGAGTTGGCTCTGGGTCGTCTCGACTCAGGCTACAGAGAAGGGGTCCCGGCCGTCGCCGCCATTACCGTCAGCAATAACAACAACACAATGTCAACATCCGCCCCAGGGCCGACACCTCCACCCGCGCCGCCGCCGCCGCCGCAGCAACTCGGGCAACCACAGCAACAGCCAGAGCCACCCGCAGCGGGAGCAGCCGGCTAGGGCATCGCGAGACTTCCCGGGAGTGCGGGCGGTGCGTGGGCGCGTGGGCGCGCGTACGTGAGGCCTCTCGCTCCGCGGTCGCCTTCTTCCTCCTCTTCCACCCGCCGGCGGCGCCTCGAGAGCGCGCTCCGCGGCGCGGCCCCGCCCCCCAACAAATGGGTCGCGGACCTGCGGGGCCGGATGCGACCCCCCGGCTGTGCGCGCAGGGCCCCGAGTGTCCAGTGGGGCACATAGTTCACCCAGCTGATCTCTAACAGAAACAACTGAAAACGGAAACCCCAGGTGGACTGGAGAATGTACTGTGCGTCTGCTCGGCAGCTGATCTCACAAGTGAGTCTCGCTGTTGGTCAGTGTTTCAATCTGCGATGATAATCACAGTCTGACTTCCCCAGGCTGAGGGCCCCGCAGACACTGCAAACGTGTTTGTCCACGAAGACACAGATTTTCAACACAAGTCCAATTCAAGCGTCTCGTCCCATAATCCTTTTAAATACCTTCCAATAGGTGAGGCCAGTGATGCTGATACTTTTCTTTCTCACAAGAAAACTCACTGCAAAAAAGTGAAGGGACTAAGGAAAAAAAATAACCAACTCAGAGACAACAGTACGGTGATTACCAGAGAGAAAGGGGAGGGGAGGCAGAAGAGGGTAAAAGGGAGATAAATAGTGATGGAAGGAGAAGACTTTGGGTGGTGAACACACAGTACAATCAATATGCAGATAATGTATTACAGAATTGTACACCTGAAACTGATTTAATTTTATTAACCAATCTCACCCCAATACATTCAATAAAATATTTTTAAAAAGAAAACTCCGTGTAGTCATGCCATGAAACAAACTTGACAAATTCTCTGCTCCAACTCCCTCATTAATCATAACCTGTTTTCTTCCATTAAGACCTTAAGTAATTCCTTTTCTCCTCCCACAAAAGAAGGGAAGAGAAGGAAGAAAAAAGTTTAATAAATGCCTCTTCCTGCCTAGACCACTAATAAAGGCCTAAGGGTCACCCTGAGTACTTGGTTTCATAGTCAAGAACCTGCCCAGGCAAAATAATAATAATAATAATGCAGGGCCTTAATGGGCTCCTGAAAAAGTTCTGAACATTGAATATATACTGTGGGGTCAGGAGAAGATGGTCATACTGGACCCAGCGCTGGTCAGACTATTCTCCAAGTTCACACCTAGCTCATTTTAGATGGGCTGAAGTTGAGAAAGTGCAAAGGAGGGCAATGAGGATATGAGAAATGCCAAACAGTCCCCTGTTGGAAATTGTGGGAGGGAATTAGCTTAGTTAGCCAAGAAAAGATGAAGAAAAAAAACACAGTAGATGTGTCAGACTTGCTGTATACCTTCCCAGAGGACATTTATTCATGTAATCATTTATTCATTCAACATATTTACTGAGCTCCAATGATGTGGCCAGCACCATGCACGTGCACAGGTGTGTGTGTGTGTGTGTGTGTGTGTGAGAATGAGATACAGTCTCTGTCTTCCAGTCGCTTATTCATCACAAAGAAAAACAATTGTAATTCCATTTAGTGCTCCCAGAAGAGTATACAGAGGGTGCTAATGAAGCACAGAGAAAACAGCTTGGTTTGGTAGTTAACAATGGGCTCTGGAGCCTGACTGCCTGCCTTTATTCTCAGCTCTGCCACTTACTGTGTGACCCTGAACAAGTCACTTAATCTCTCTGTTCCTCATATATAAAATAAGGATATAATAGTACCTAGCCCACTAGACTGCTTAGAAGAGGGCTGGGCACACAGTAAATATGGAGTGGTAACAGGGGATCTCCAAGGCCCTTTCCAGCCAATCAACTCTATGAGGATCGGCACAGTTTTTTAAAATTATGTAATGCTTTACTGTTTATTAAGTACATACACATCATTTGATATTCTCCAAGAACCCTGTGAGGTAACTAAGGAGGATGTAATTGATTCCTTAGTTTCAGAGATGCTATGTGACTTTATCATGGCCAAATGGCTATTTAATAGTCAACTCAGGGCTTCAACTCCAGTGCACTGGATAAGCCAAAGTGTTCTGAATTTTCTTCTTAGTGGGAATCAGGAGGCCAGTGGCTGCTCTTAGTTGAAGGAGCAGCTGCAAATGGGAGAGTGAGAAAAGGAAACAAGAGGAACAAAGGTCAGTCTTTTTCAGACATGGTTACACACCTTTCTGTAGTAACAGTGGCCAAGATAAGGGGCTAGTGCCCCAAAATATCTAAGTCATCACATAGCTGACAATTTCCCAGGGGCAGAGGAAGTCACTCACAACTCCTTAAACCTCCAGCACCTTCCACAGTTCCTGCTCCAGAGAGGGAGCTCAAAAATGTTAACTGAATTGAGATATAATGTTACTAGTGCTATTTCCAGAACATCAGAGTTAATTTGGCTTCTGAGGACTGCAAAGACTTTACCCTTATCTTAACACAGATTCTGTATGAGGGAAATACTCTATTCTAAGATCTATTCAACAGAGGGAGACTTGCAATTTCCACCACCTCAGTGTAAGGTAGAGGCTGCCTTATTTTTGTTCTTCCTATTTTGCTCTTTTGCTTGCTCTAAAAAAAACTGTCAGAGCCAGCAAAAGGGTGTGGGACCTGGGAACAAGGCCCAGTGGGTGAGGGAACATGTTGACATCATAATTCCAAACTCCACCCCCAATCCTCCAGGCTCCAGTTTCCTGTCAAACTCCTTCCCCTAGTCTCTTCCTGGGGATGAACCCCACTCACAGTGTCTTTTCTCTCAGCGTATAAATGCCCTCCTGCTCTGTGCTGGATGGACTTCTCTGCATTTGAGTTGCCCTTTACATTCCTGATTCTCACACTTTCTCCTTTACTTTCAGACCAAATGGCCCAAACCAAAAAATGATAATGCCTCAAAAGGCTCCTGAGGCAACAAATCTTTCATCATTTTTATGATAAATACTCCTAGGTTTGAAAAATTCCAAGTCTGCCACTACCTAGCTGAGCTGCCTTGGGCAGGTTTTATTTTCTAAGCTTCCTTTTCTTCATCCTGAATTGAAATCTATGTCATAGGGTTATCAAGGGTCAAATGAGGTAATGCATTGCTATGGACTGAACTGTGTCCTCTCATGTGGAAGCCCTACCCCACAATGTGATAGTATTTGGATGTAGGACTTTCAGGAGGTAATTAGGTTCAGTTGAGACCATGAGGGTGGGGTGCTCAGGATGGGGTTAGTGCCCTTATAAGAAGAGACCAGAGAGTTTGCTCTCCCCACGCCCCTCCCCTTGGTGTGAGGATGTAGGAAGACTCCCACCTGCAAGGCAGGAAGCTGGCTCTCAGCAGGAACCAAATGAGACAACACTTTGATCTCAGACTTCCAGTCTCCAGAACTGGGAGAAATAAACTTCTGTTGTTTAAACCACCCAGTCTGTGGTATTTTGTTATGGCAGTCCTGGCTAAGACAGCACATAAACCCTCAATTTTTTTCACTCATTCATTCATTAAACAAGTATGCATTGAATTATTCCCAGGTGCCATATTCTGTGCCAGCAACTAGGGTTTAGCAATAACGCAGTAAACAAAACACAGTTCCTGCCTTCATGAAGTATAAAGTCCATTAGGGAGAGCTAACAGATAATTATAAACATAATTAACTGTTAGAGTTATGATCTGTCTTGTAGAGAAGTATAGGGGACCATGACAGCAGTTAATCTAACTCACTCTGAGAAATCAGGAATTCTTTTCTGGAGAAATAGCCTTTCAGTTGATGAACTAAGCAAAAGTATGAGGGTGGGTAAATAGAAGAGATGATAAAGTTCCAGGTACTGGGAATAGCATATTTGTCTTTGTTTATTTGGGCTGTTATAGCAGAATACTATAGACTGAGTGGCTTATAAGCAACAGAAATTTCTGTGTCTTCATGACCTAGTCATCTACCAAAGCCCTCACCTCCTAATACCATCACATTGGAGGTTAAGATTCCAACATATGAATTTTGGAGGAACATAAACATTCAGTTTACAGCAATGTTTAAAGACCCTGAGGGAGAAAAAAACATGGCCCAAATCAGGTCAAACCAAAGCTAGTGTGGTTAAACCCTAGTAAAGAAAGAAGAGCCAAATCAACACGGGGTCAAAGAGGTTGATAGAAACTTGGAGGCCTTGGTAAGGAGTCTGAAGTTCATCCTAAAAGTAAAGAAGATACACTGAGGATGTGAAGCCAGACATGGCTTCAGGTGTGCATTTTAAAACCAAATGGGAGACCAATAGTGCAACCTACCTAGCAGGCATCCCCCACCTCTTCTGAAAGCAGCAGCACACATGCACCCTCCCCAAATGATTTGTGGTAAATCATATCTCCCCTACTCTCAGGACATGTGACTGGGTTAAGCTGACCACATCCCCAATTCCAAGAGTGGGCAAAAGACCAAGGGCTAGACATCAGAAAGCGTGGAATACCCTGGGACACGGTGATTGTTCTGAGTGGATACATGATTCAGACAGAGCCAATGAGATTCAATACCAGGACTTTTAATAGAACTATTGGGAAGAGGAGGAAAATACATTTTTCTATGAATTGACTAGGAGCCATGTTGCCTTTGTAATGGTAGAAACTGCCTGAGAGTGATGCTAACACTGAGGAAGCCAGGACCAACGGATAAAACAAACATGTGTTTGTCCTGATGACCATGTTTGAGTTCCCTGAGGTCAACCACAACTTAAGACCTCCAGGTTTGTAGGAGAGATCATGGATTCAGCTTGTGGGATGTGAGATAGAAAAAGATGTTAGATAGATAGAAGAATAGATGTGAGGGTGGATGGGTGGGTGGATGGATTGACGGGTGAATGGAAGGAAGGAGGAAGGAAGGAAGGAAGGAAGGATAGGTGAGAGAGAGAGAGAGAAAGAAAGAGAAAGGAAAGAAAGAAAGAAAGAAAGAAAGAAAGAAAGAAAGAAAGAAAGAAAGAAAGAAAGAAAGAAAGAGAAAGAGAGAGAGAGAGAAAAAAAGGGATGGG